AAAAATGTGCTTTTAAAAATTTAACATCATTTGGTGTGACATTACAAATTCATAATCATACATGTAACGGGAAGCGGGGAGAGGGGGGGGGGGTTACTTTCAGCAAGGACGGCCACTACCAACAACCAAGCCCCGAAACCCATATCCTGAAGGCAAATAAGTTGAGGTGTCAAGCAAGAAACAATTTTTTTTTCTGCTCTTGCCTCATGTATTTAACCGCTTTTTTTCTAAATATACTAGGCCTACACATCATATCGGCAAAAATATTTAGGAGCCCCTCTTTTTATTCCATGAAAAGGGGAAAACTTAATTAAATTCTAATATAAGATCTCATAATCACACTTAATCATAGTGAATGTAAACAGTTTATATTTCCCATCCTGCATCGCTCTGTAGGCGCTTTATTTCATTGGTCAATTTCCCGAGGCGCCATTTTTGGAGGATCGAGAAGGACGAAGAAGAAGGTGTAAGCAGCTGGTAAATGTGAAAAGTTAAGATGGTTTCACCACCCAGTGTCTTTAAGACTGTGATAAATGCAATAGCCAACGATGAAGGATTAGTGTACGTATATTTTTGTTAACTTTTTACGGTAAATAGTTGTAATATTTGGCGACAACAAATCTTCACTATCGGAGGCAACTTTTGTTCTGACGCCATTTTGAAAAGTTGGATACCTAAGTTTTAAATTGTTAAGTGCATATATTGCAGAGAGAGAGAGAGAGAAAGAGAGAGAGAGAGAGAAAGTGATATAGCATAACTTAGATTATGGAGGCCCCAAAGGCACCGTGCATGTGCATGCTGTATGTTGTAAAATGGCAACGTTTCGCCTTTTATCATGTTTATTAAAATGTATGCTCTCTCTCTCTATATATAAATGAATACTTTTCTGAATTTAAAAAAAAATATTTTTAACCCCGCTCAAATTATCCGGATAATAATAGTTACACCGAGCATGGTTTTGTAGTTAAATTCAGACTGTAGAACATCCGGTTTGAATACATGTGTTTTCTGACTTTTCGGATAGCCAACTCTTGTTTTTTGGAACTTACGACTTATGGCAAGGTATAAATTAAATATTTTTGGTTCAAAACTTTGATAAAAGCATCGATATTTTTACAAAAAGTGTCTTCAATCTCAGATTATCCGATTATTCATGAAGGATATCCTCATCAGAACAGTAATCAGTTGGAATAGATTGTAGCGAATAGCATAACCCTTAATCATATGCATGACGATGATATGGAGGGAAAATATACATAACAAAATTCAGAGAATTTGTGTCCCCCGCTTAGGGAAAAGTAAACCATGTGCAGTTCTGAAGAGATTAGGTTTGTTTTATTGTTTATAGTATTACTGCTCAAGTGATTGGGATAAGGCCTAAATAAATAAATAGTGTGTTTCCGGTTCCCCACACGTAATTATGAATATTCGAGCCGATCCTGAACATTTTTTTCTGTCATATATTTCCAGGAGTAACAGGGTTTCAGAAAAAAAATGGTGTCGACTCCCATTTATACTGATAAAAATTCAAATGTAAAAAAATAAAATTTACCTGCCAAAATATATTAAGTTTAACATTTTATACACTGCCAATTAATGTAAAGGGCAGTGTATATTAAGGTTTGATTCAGATCCGATTATTTTTTTTACTTCTTTTGCAACTGCTGAAATAGTCATCAACACCATTTGAGTATTAGAAAACAAAAAATACTTTCAATTTTACTTCCAAATCCAAATGCAAAGAGCACAAAAGTAGTGATGTTTTTAAAACAGGCCAGACTTTTCCATGCCTTGTTGATATTTTTACCGCCATGATTGAATATGGGGTCAGACTCATAACAGAAAAAGACAATGTTGCAAGGTTTTACTATAGAAAGGAAATCATTTGTTTAGTCTATAAATCTGTAAATTAACGTAATACATATAATCAGACTAACAAGTCTAATTTTTGGATAACTACTTTTAAAACTTGTACATGTTGTAATCCCAAGAAATAAATACCTGTACTGATGTACATGTAATAAAGGTGGGACTAATATCAGTAAAATACCCATTGAATGGAATTTAAAAAAAAAAAGTAAATTCCCCTTCTGTTTTATTGTAATGATTTAGTTTAAAGTAAACAAAATATATTAACTTTATTAAAAGAAAATTAATGAACATTTTTGAATATTTTATGAAATAAATGATTTTTTTTTAAAGTCTGAAAATGAAATCTGAGCAAGTTAAATAACTATTCTATATTAATTTCATTAATTAAAAAAATTGATTCTAATCAATGTATGTAGCCGATTATTACCGATAATCGTTTTATTTTAATTATTTTTCCAATTTCCCTTTAAATCCGGTGAATTTTAAAAATGACTTAAAATAATGTTATATTAAAAAATTAAATGAAACCAATTGAGTGACACTTTTTCAGTATTTTACTATTAAGACATTGACCTGACTTCATTTAAGCATAAAATGAAAGAATTTTAAAAGGAATTGTATATTTTCAATATAACATTGCTAAAATGAAAATGTTGAATATGGATATTACACTATGGTAATTGGCCTTAATTTTAGGAAGTTTAGAAAGTAATGTCCTTTAACTTTTCTGGTAAATATGCCAGATGTCTTATAGTTACAGTTCAATATGAAAACCCTAATTAATTATTCTAGTTTTACTGTTATAAAATCTTAATTTACTTCCCTGTTTGAATTATGCTTATCATAGGCACATTAATCAGAAATATTTTGAATGTTTTTTCTATAGAGGAAAATGGCAGCGTGCTTGCCAATAAAATGTTTAAATAAAATAAAATGTTTTTCCTAACTACCTACCTATGTTTTTCTCAGGGTGATTAACACTATTTATTTATCCTGGCCTAAGCTAGGGACTAAATGTGACAATGGCGCACTCTAAGTCAGTGTCAATGTGACATTTCAAAATTCAATGCGCAAATTTTTCGAACAAACAGACTTTTTAATGGGACATTTCCTAGTTACAAACTTGCAATTGATTTCTTGCTGTTAGAATTTCAGTTGACTTGACTTAATTGAAATTGTCAAATTATTGAATGACAACATTAAAGATACAAAATTAGTATATTCAAATTCACAAGTGTCAGAAAATAAATAAACACGGCAAATTAATTTCAATTCTTTATTTTTTGTCTCCGATGTTTGACATCTATTTAAAATGATTTAAAGCCTGGTTAAAAATCCATAGAAAATTCATGTTAAATTTTCGTTTCGGTTTTTCCTCCGAGACTAATGACAATTGCCGCCAGATTCATTTCCATTCGTTCTGTCAGTATGTTATACTTCTTCCGGGTAAACCAATCACTTGAATTTGTTTGTTAGGACATTTTGTTAAAATTAAGAAAAGTCTGCCCAAAAAATACGAAGTATTTTCTTAGGCAGCATGCTGCATGCCTGACACCAATTTCCTGTGCATTAGCCAAGCAGAAAACACGTAACTGTTTGATTAGATACTGGAATTAAAAAAAAGTCATAGGAACGCTTTAAATTGAACGAGATTAAATACTATTTTATCAAGCGTAAATTGACAGCGATTGTTTTGGGAAATACTACAAACGCTTGGGGGATCACTTTAAAAGTAGGTAGTGCATGATTATATATGCGCCACGATGTTGCATGCAGCGATTTTAATTTTAATGTGACATTTTGAAATTTAATGCGACTATGGCGCAGGGCGCAATGCTTTCACTGCTCAAAAGATTTTTTTGTAATGTCTAACCTGTTGAGATGAAGATGTAAAAAATGAAAAGCCTAATAGTGAATTAATATTGATAGTATGTCAAGAAATGCAAATGAATCATCAGCTTGAATTATCAGTTTTTTCACAATTATTGACCTGAGTAGGTCAATGTATAAAAATAATACATACTCTTTTCCAATTTATCACATCTGGTCAAGAGGAGTGCCCGAGACACCAATATCAGCCAGAGGGACAGAGGCCCTAGGGCTTTCAATATTTTCAGTAAGGTCTGATACAGGATTGTGATGTGGAAAAGGGTATGTTTCATTATGTTTATTACAAACTTGGTAATAGAGAGTACAGAACACTTCAAGTTGAGAAGATCATAAGTAAATAATCATGACAATAAAACTACTTTACATGTACACATATTGTTTACTGAACAGATTTAGCTGTCATTAGGTCAAAATTGCAAATAATAACATGCTTCTTATATCTGTATATACAGGTAACTCTTGATGGCTTGAACTTCATTTCTTAAAAGTTCTTGATCACTTGAAGTGTCTCCGGTCCCGATTTTTTCCATATATAACTAAGCAGATTTGCTCTTGATTTCTCGAACTCCTGATCTCTCGAAACCCTTGATCCCTCGAAGTCAAAATGCAGTCCCGCTGTGCTGTGAATTTTACCCTTGATACCTCGAAGTGGCTGTGTGTATACCAAGTTATAATGTTCAAACTTTTGCCATAACTGTATATCTGTCTGTGTGTCTGTCTGAGTGTCTCTTGTCAACTTAAACCTTCACCATAACTTTAGAACTATACGAGATAGTGGCTTCATATTTAGTATGCATACTCCACTAATGAAGTGCTTTCAAATGGCAACAAGGACAATGATTATGTGATCTTGACTGTGACCTGTATGCTAAAAAAAAATTGCATTTTTGAACTGTGTTGCTGTGTTTCACAAGCGCATCTTGTTTTTAGCTCTACTGGTCAGAGACCAGAAGAGCTTATGCGAAAGTAATGCGTCCGGCGTTTTTCCGTCTGTCTGTCTGTCCATCTGTCTGCAAACACTACTCCTCCTTAAATTTTAGTCTGATTTCAATATAACTTGGCACACAAGTAGACTATACAAGATACATAATTCTGTGCATCAGTTTTTGATAAGTACAAACCAGTAGAGCTACAGTCTCGACAGAGACTTCTGGTTATTTTTTCTTCCATTCCGGTTATTGCTACTGCTATTACATAATTAGTTTAAATTAGAATGCAATAGTACCTGGACATAATTTATCATTTCAGAGAGAAGAAATTGTGTGACTTTAAAAGAAAACCAGTGAGAAAGAATCATAGAAAATGTATGATGATTCAGGATGTGGTCATTCGGTAAGTGGTAATTCATTCATGATTCGTATGTATATGACAATTGCCTGAAGAAAAAAAAAGATTCTAAATTTTATTTAAATACTGAACTGTGGTATATCAGCTGTGAGCTACAAGAAGTTTTATGTAAAAGCTAGGGCTGAAACAATTTGCCCCCTCCATGTTATGTGTGTATTGCTATGATTGACATACAATCAGTTCTCTAATACATACACTTCAATAAAACTTTGTCGTCTCGAACCTGAATTGAACAGGAAAAAAATCTGAGATCTCTCCAAAAATTTGAATGAAAAAAAGGAAATGCTTATTAACTGATTTCTTGCTGGTCAGTATTTTGATTACTTAAAGGAAGCTCTAAAAACTGCACACTAAAGAGTTCTACTTTAATATCAGGTAGTTTTATGAAGTTAGAGTGATCTGCCCATAGATTAAGATTATGAAAAATGTTATTTTACAGTCAGTTAGATTATTTTTAATAGATTAAATTATTTTTAGCATTATTAAAATAAAGAAAATAGGAAATTAATTATTTTCATAAATTTTTCCAATGCAAGTAAACAGCAATGATTTCTGCTTACAGATAGTCCATTGTCTTTGAAAATTTCTTGGGGAAATGAGGCACATACCATATGTTCTAAATGGATAATAAAGGCTCATTATGCACATATTTATATGAAATATGATAGATTTTTTTCTCTCCAAGGAATAATTTCTGCAAGTCACTAAGTTTTTAGAGTTTCCTTTATTTTATAGATATTCAATGAAATTATTTGAAGTATTAAATTTTGGTAAATTTTATGATACTAAAAGGTGATATGGATGAAAAAACAGCATGCGTGTATGACAATAGGGCTTAAATTTTAAATGTCTCTTAATTTTTCAGTGACATTAAAACAGGAATTGTCATCACCAATAGACGAATTTCACATTCCTAAGAGTTTTCTCCAATTGTCGGCGTATCGCTCATTTTTCCCACTTTGTCCTTTGTAAGTTACTTGTTAATATTTTCAATCTTCCAAAATATTGGACAATTACGATCTGCATCTGTATTGCTAGAGTATGGGGGCAACATGAAAATCATAATGAATATGTTCATAAAGATTTTATTTCTAAGATATTGTCCCTCAAAGTTGATACGGTTAAAGAGGGAAAACAGCATCTTAAGCCGGTTGACCCCAGATCGACCCTGCGAAGGGGAATAACTTTTGTAAATGTGAAAGTCTTTTATGGTATATCATATAGATCTAAAACTGACTGAATTTTGATCAGCCAATTCATGAACATGATGAATGGATGTAAATAATGTTGGTCAATATATGTAAAAAAAAAATAAATAAATAAATTACTTGTTTAAATATATATACATTTGTGGTTATATTTATAAACTTGTTATTTATTTCTTAAATAAACTGAGTACATGCAATACCGGTATAAAATTACTCATAAGATACATGTATACTTCAACCATGATAAAATCATGTGTCCAATGCAGCATATGATAAATCATTAACATACAAGTACATGTGTATATATACTGTAATACATATATATTGCATTATTTTTAGGTCCTGTTCTGTGGATGCCCTAAGACAGTGTCTACCCATCACTCCATCTGATATCACTTGTTCTGTGCATATTTCTCTCTCAAACTTAAACTACAGAGAGCCTGTGGATAGAGGATGAAGAGTGACCTTGGACTAATTTTCTAGGTCAAAGGTCAGTATCAAAATCTACTGTATATCTTTATTTAAAATCGTAGTCCAGAGTATATTTCTCCCCTGGTGTAATCTAGCTTTTGTGCAATGGGGTGGAGGTCTGCAATGATCTTCAACCAATTTCTAGGTCGAATATCAAAATTAAAAAAAAAATCTCTCCCTAATATTTTTGTTATTATAAAGGGTATGTTTTCTCTCAAACTAATCAAACTTAAAGCAGGGTTCTTAGTATGAGATACATGTAGTAATATATTCTCAATGACATAATAAGGCTGAAAACATTATTTATATTATGTTATTTTTTTTCACTTATCATAAAGCATTAAATATTAAAGAGATACATTAAATGCTGAAATCATATGTATCATGGTCATGGAAAGTAATTATTGATATTGGTATATTAAAGGACATTTACTGATCTTTCAGATTTCTAAGTTATATTCAAGCATTATAATTCTGACATCATATAATAATTTTGTATGAATATTGCAGATCAAAGGTGATGTGAAGAAAACCAGGAAACTGATGTTGAAAGAAGTACTTAATGACCCTTATGAATGGACTTAAATGTGAAAGACTGTTCCATTGTTTATCTAAGATATATGAATTTATGTAATATTTTGATATTATTGAAAAATTCAGTTACAGTTTTTGTACATCAAATGAATTATTAAACATATAAAATGGTAATGCTTTTTTCTTTTACATGTAATAAATTTTTTTGATAGATTTTTAAAAGAATACACATTATTTCACATTGCTTCCTTTAGAAAAGTTAGGGAATCTTGAAGTTTCCCAGTAATTTCCACCAGGAATGGGACTCCAGATAATTCCACCAAGTTTCCGCCACAAAGAAAGTGCTACACAAGTTCCATATAGTTTCCTGAGTCAAGGAAACTTAAGAAATCATAAGGTTTCACGAGCTTCCATGTAGTTTCCCATAAAAGAAAACCTTAAGATTCCATCAAGTTTCCATTCCACGGAAACCACTACGCTCATATTTCATATGGTTTCCTGAGTCAAGGAAGCTTTAGGAATCGTGAGGTTTCCCGAGCTTCCATGTAGTTTCCCATATGAGGAAACCTAAAGATTCCATCAAGTTTCCATTCCACGGAAACCACTACGCTCAAGATTCCATATGGTTTCCTGAGTCAAGGAAACTTTAGGAATCGTGAGGTTTCCCGAACATCCAGGTAGTTTCCCATAAAAGGAAACCTAAAGATTCCACCAAGTTTCCATTCCACGGAAACCCCCTACGCTCCGATTCCATCAAGTTTCCTGATTCTGGAAACCAGTGGAATCTTCAGGTTTCCCATTACGGGAAACTACATGGATGTTCGGGAAACTTCAGGTTTACAGAGGTTTCCGTGGTTCGGGATACCTTATGGAATCGGAGCGTAGGGGGTTTCCGTGTCACGGAAACTTGGCGGAATAACCTGGCATCCGCTACGGAAACCACTGGGAAACATGATGTAAACTTGAGGTTTCCATGTGGTTTCCGTAAAGTTTCCCATGATGGGAAACCACTTTTTTCACCCAGTG